GACTATGAGAGTGTTTCTTTTTTAAATTTTTTCTCTAATTATAAGATATCTTATAATGTTAAGATAATAAGACAATCTTATAATTAGAGAAAAAATTTAAAAACGAAACACCGTTAAGTCATTAGTAGTACCTATCATCAGTCTGTAAAAAAAATCAGCTTCATTCGTCCAACCGTAGCCTAGTTATATCCGTAGAAAGTTCGTGAAAAACCGACTAGTAATTGTTTTTTTACGGAGTTATCAAATGCGCGCGATTTTTTAAAATATTTTTTTAAGAACTATTATCAACGTTTTCATTTGGTGTATAACTTATTTTTTCGAAAAACAACCTTTCAGAATTGCTACCGCAAGAAGTACCCGCAGCGCCTTAAGTCGTATGACCTGAGGCGGCAGACGATCGTTTTTGGCATACTCTGAAAGGGCAAAATGGAACTCCATCGGTTAAAATTTTGATCATTCTCGTTCAGTGGATTTCGTGTTAGCTCCCCTACTACAAGTGTCTATGTATCAAATTTCATTTCAATGCTTTTGTAAATAAGAAAGTTGACATTTCGCATGCGCAAAACAATATTGGAAATGCCGTTAGTTTTACTTATATTCGTAGTATTTACATCTGGTAATAGTATTTTATGCAATGGGCATTTAATTATTGCTATTAAGGCACCGCTATTAAGGCATCGTAATGAATATGAGTGTCTTAATAATTCTTTGGCGTAATTTGATTCATATAATTATAAAACGTGCTTCAGGATTACTTTGATTCAATTGGTTGAACTTTGAGTCATCCACTGTAATAAATTACCGATGTTCCGCAATGTATAAATGTTAAAGATGTGCCCTTCTAACAGCAAACAGAAGATTGAATTAATTGTCATTGACCTTTTTACTGGTAGTCGTTTTTCAGTTCATAACTAACGGAGATCTAAAAGCGATCGGACATTTCTAAACAAAGTTATCGTTCACACGGACAGATAGAGGGACATACAGACAAAGGAACAGACGGACAGACCAACAGGCAGACGACAGACAGCAATACAAAATTATAAACGATCTCTAGGATCGTTAATAAACGGGAAAAGTGTAAAATTATGGAACATGTAAAAAACGGTTTTTTGGTTTTTTTACAATAACTTTTTTAGCAATAAACGCAGAAAAAATTCCTTCCTTGGTACAAGCCTCGACACCATAGCGAACCAAATAGCGAAAAAAGTAGAACAATAGCTCTTCAGATAAAGAACTAGTAGCGTCTCAACGAACGAGCGGACGGAAGGACGGACAGACGGACAAAGTGGCCACAATAGCGCAATTATTTTTTATTTTTGTGGAAATGCGCTAAAAATGGATGCAGAACTTTGATTAATAAATTAATTAACGCAACGTTTTTAGCGCATTTTCACCGCTATTGTCACTTTGTCCGTCCGTCCGTCCGCTCGTTCGTTGAGACGTTACTAGTTCTTTATCTGAAGAGCTATTGTTCTACTTTTTAGTGCAAATATGTGCAATAAGACACTTATCTAATACGTCGTGTTAAAAGTGACAGCTTTTCACTGGCCGTTACCGTTAGCTATGCGAATGAAGGAAAATCTCTGTTTATCACACGAGTTTCTTAGGTTTCGAACTTTTAATTACGTTTTTTATGTGAAGAGCGCGTTTTGAATTCTAAAATATTCCCCAGCAAATGAATGATCTTGCTACAACTGACTTCCAAATTTTAATGTAAAAAAAATGGAGCCTGTAGGTAACTCGCCCTTTGTCACCAATTTATAGACAAAGCGTTTCTTAACGACGTGCGTTCTTAATTACGCGATCGATAAAAATAAATAGCAGCGGTTCGTTGTTGGAAATTTCCTCTCAAAATAAAAATCGGTAACGCTTTTCTGCGACTTGTTTAGATTTTCTCCAACAACAATTTGGCAGAACTGAGATAGTAAGTAACTCGCGAAATTGGCTCATCTGCCCGGCGACCCTTAAATTTTAACCAGTATATTTTCGCCAATACGCGAAATAACAACCTTTTATTGAAAATACACGCGTTGTTGTCGCCTTTTATTTCTAAACGTAATTTTGTTTCAGTAAAACGGTACATACAGGGTAGAAATTTGAAAACTTACCACCCCCTACCAAAACCATACCAAAAAGCATTACATTTAGGTTAGTAATTATCGTGCAAATCAAAAAAGAAACCAATATGGTACATTTTTTAAAGTTGCCTTTTATTTCAATAAATGTTCAAAATGGGTTCCGTTATTGGTAAGACAATAGTATAATCTATTCTCAAACTCTTGTCGAACCTTTTCAAATGTTGGTTTTGCAATATTTCGACATTCTTGAATTATTATCTGCCTTAGTTCGTCTATGTTCGACGGTTGCGTTTTAAATACGACAGATTTCAAATGTATCATATTATAGTTTATTTTTTGATTTGCACGATAATTACTAACATAAATGTAATTCTTTTTGTATGGTTGGAAAGTATTTTTTCAGAGTTTTCCAACGACGTATCACACATGGGGGGTCACTATTTAAGATTTAAAAGTTGGGGTAGCTGGGGAGCAGGGGGTTGGAGGGAGTGTGTCGCCAACTGTCATTGTGATTCCCCCTCCGAATTACCGAAACGGATTTTGATTTTTTTAAATATCTCGTTTATTTACTAAGACATGGGGGGTGGTCAGTTTTCAAATTGCCACCCTGTATGTAAATCTTCCTATGTTTACCAAATTATAAATTCGAAAAATTACTTTTAAAAAAATTGCTATAGTGGCCGCCCGTTACACAGTCGAGACGGAAGGTGACGCGAATGAGGTCATAGGTACGGTTGAGGAATTCTCGTAGAATGTGTCAATGAAAGACGAAGTAAGAAAAACTTTTTAGGAAAGAAAAGCGTTCAATCCGGATAAAAGAATCAGGTGTGGAGACAAGAAGAGTAAGAAAGTTGTAGGAAACGTAAAGGGGAGTGAAAAAGATACAAGGAAGTTTTAAAGAAAAAGCGCGCAAAAATTTTAAGGAGGTGCGAAGGCGTGGATTAAATTTTGTTGAGAGCAAAGGTAGAGTTAATTAAAGGGTTGTATTTGGTTTTTGTTAAATTTTGTGTCTCATTGTCAAAAATGGATTTATATTGACATCGCGCCAGGCAAAATTAAATACCTACTCTAAGGCACAGTTGCCAAATTAGGGGTTGGCGTTGTTACGTCTTTTGGGCATTATCAAGGGGATAATATGAGGTAAATTAGGGACTTTTACGTGAATTTTTATTAGAAAATGAGCCAAGCAACACTTGATATAGGCATAGGCACCCACCTGTATTTACCATTTTTTAATATTAATAAAACATAAACCCATGTTAATGAATTTTTGGAGGGGCGGGGGTACACAAATTATTGTAGTGTAGGGGCGAATGTTGAGCTAATCCACCTTTGGGGCGACCCCGACTTTGACGCATCACGCTATACTGTCTTGCTTCAGGATTTTGATTAGGAGAGAGCTGACGTATCTTTTTTTTAATGTTGAATAATAATTTATTTGTAGATTTCGTCCAAAAACAATAGTAGTTATATGACCTGTATAGCAATTATACTCGACGCTTCCGTCATAAATGCAACAGGCGTTCATGCCACGTCACTCGCATGAGTCATGGCAGATGTTGCTACGTGGCAAACATATTGTTTTATAAAGATTCCAATTTTTCGGGTGGAATAATTTTGGACACGAAGTTGAAAATAATTACGTTACGGATGTAAGTAGCGATGCTGCGTGTCCCAAATTACCCCATCTCTTTACCCCTTTAGTAGTGTCAAAAATTGACTAACCTTTCACCGAGCCTTTCATTTTCCTTTTTGGGGTCCAGAATTTGCTTTTCCTGCTTTTAGAAACACAACACAAAGAGTCGATACGAATGTAAACGATAAAATACTGCACAAATGCCATACATCGCGACGCGAACGAAATAAACCTCTTGCACTGATAAGCCGAGAAGCGCTTGTTCAAAAATGGGACCATTCACAAATTTTCATTCGGACGTAATCGGATCCTGGCGGCAACGTCAGTAGAGATAAACAGAATATTAGAATTAACACCTGTTTTGAATAAAATGTATTCGAATACCAAACTAATAGTTGAGACCTTGATATTTTTAGTAAGCGATTTACGGCCGTTTGCTCGTAAAACTGAAAGCTTTTTAACCATCGTTTAAAATCATTTCGTGACGATGATATTGTAGTCATGGATATTAAACTATGATTAATATTAATCGCTCTTTAACTTTCATGGTGCAAATGACCATTTAGGCTTCTGAAGCTATAGGTAGTACACTCACAATGCCTACCTCATGATCACGTTCAAATCTAATTTATTACCTTAGATTTTTTACTATTGGTAATTAGTCCAACATCCGGTACATTTTCCTATTCAAAAACAAATTTACATGCCTACATAAAATTTTAACCCTCACAAAAGAATGGTATAAATGAACTTTAAATTCAACCATGAAAACCAACCCCTTCAGGAATGCTAAATTGACTTTCAGCATAAATCTGTTATACAAAATCTCCAAAAGATCGACTCCTACTGTTACACAATTCAAAAAATTCGAAATAGCTTACATTTTTGTCGATGAGTCAAATTGTTCTCCCAGTTCTCCTTTTAAAAGGTAGCCAAATTTTAGAAAAAACGGATGGTAGAACGTCTTGTGCAATACAATCGAACCTTTTGTATCGCCTGATAAATGTAACTACTCGTTGATAGTGAATTTCGAAAGATGTACGACAATTTTCACACGGAACAAACTGGGCATCAGGTTTCTTGAAATAGTCGGACTTTTGTTCATCCATTGGATTATTCGACCACTGTTCCGCAATAGGGAGATGTCAAAAAATCCCCCTTACAACTTAAGGTTTAAGAGCCAGCAAAAGCACTAATTAATTGTCTTTACACTTTTTTACTTACTGGTTGCCGTTTCATGTAAAATCTATTCTGTGTATCTTTATAATTATAAATTGTTTCAGGAGGGTGCATGTAACAACCGCCACACTAAACCAACTCGGCGACCGTTTCGAAGTCGAACCTGGAGACGGCAGAAGTCGCGACGGCTACTTAGAGGACCACAAGATAGAAACATATCTCATCGTTCCTCCGAAAGTAAGTGGCAAAAATACGCGTACAATGGACACCTAATTTTCGTTGAACTTTCGTACACAATGCACGATGTCAAAAGAACCACAACAAAGCGATACGTCGCGCGGGATTCGAAAATAAAGTATCTCTCAGAATTGCTCGGTCCCAAACGTCGTAAGGGAAAAACTTTTATGTGGTGTCTCTTGAGGTTCAATTAATCTTTAGATACCTACAGTCCTACATACTGTCCACTGGAAAATATCGCCGCTCTGTTTGCAGAAAATGGACGGGGAAGCTCATCAAAACCAACGTTCTAAATCTTTATTGCCTGTCGAGAGGAATAACAGTATCGATGTCGGTTTAAACGGTCCAGGTTTCGCGACGCCCGGTGGTCCGCCGACGCGTAATCGACATTCCAGTAAGATGACGAAGTACGTCGAATGTTGGGGTGCGGATAAACCGTTTTCGAATATTGCTGAAAGCACAATTGCCAAGAATATTGAGCATATGGTAAGGAGGGCGTTATTTTTTGTTGATGTGGACGTTGTTTATGTTTATTTGTAATTTAACAGAGCGTTGCCATGATTGAGAATGACTTGGTTGCAGATCGGATTTCATGTATTGAATGTCAGTAAGTACGTTTATTTTTTATTCTCGTAAATTTGGTTTAGCAATTTGTCTTCTGAACATAACGACATAATAAGAGTGGAGTATAATCACATGCATCGATTGGGCACCGCATAGTAAAACCGATTTTTTTATGTAAGATAGAATTTGCTACAACTTGAGTGGTAGTAATCTGGGAAACTGTACTGTAATAATAACAAAAAATCGAACATTAAATAGGCAATAACAATTTAACATAGCCGTAACACATATCCTTTTATTATGAAGTTAAGACCTAGAAATGTTTTAGGTAAACCACTTCTAATTACAACCCCAAAATGTAAAATAAGCGCACACTTTGGACAGGGCATATAAGTATTCACCCTTTCCATAAAATTCAATAATGGTAGAAACGATTTTAGAGACCGCTTGAGTAATGGAGTGGTTTTTCCAAAAACCGTACTGAGAAGGGCTTAATAAAATACGAGGCGCTGCCAAAAAATTACCGCGTTATCACGCAACGACAAAAGATCACCTGACCACTCCATCGATAGGGGTAGAATTTTCTGGCATTTATGATACTGATAGATCTGGTGTTCGTTAGGTTCGTTCTCCCTTGGAAATGTTCTCCAAGAAAATGTGAAAACTGGATCGCTTTCGGGGTGAGACAATTGATCTTTGTTTGTAGCTCGCCCTTGTGCAATCTGCTTCCGTTGTGTTGAAAATTTCCAGAGGGTGAATATTGAACGATACTCAAGAATTGGTGTGAAATTCTCGAAAATGTTTATGCACAGGAATAAGAAGCCAAATTCTACTGCACATTATTAAAGTTTGAATCTGTTTTTAAATCCTTGTCTCCACCTATTTATCATGGGTTTTGTTTACAGCACAATTCGTTTCGAAATAATCACCATTTTTTATTTAATTTACCTGCTCGGCGAAACGATTTCCTTCGCAATTTTACTAAAACTGATTATTCTTATCAAGATTTTAATACCCACCACAGGATGCACCACGTAAATGTTTCCGTGCGGTATTTACACAGTCTTACTGCCCTACTCAATTCAGACTTGCGGACGCTAGATAGTTCCAGGCGATTTCGTATAAAAAGGCCGTAATTATATTGATTATGGATAGTCTACAAATCCACTAACTTTATACGAGGGACTAAACGTACTTATACCCTATACACTACTACGGGTGCGAGGTTAAGCTGAAAATGATTTCACAGTCTCGCGAGCGATAAAATCGAGCGACCCGGACTCACATTATTGCATTTGTGCTTCGTTGGCTATTGATACCCAGCTCAAAATCTGAAATGGAAGCTCGTGAACTCGTTGAGTTCGCACGCTTTATAGCCAGATATTTACCCGTATCTACATCTGAGGATCCTATTTCTCCGTCAAAGTGGTTAATTGAACTGGAAACGAAATTTAATTCCAAACGCGCCTCGCTTATCGCCAGACCTACTCACGTCCACGTTTTCTATGAAGCGGTACTTATGTAAATTTCTTAATACTTGAACGAATACAAATTTAAATAATTTTTACGCCCACCAGGCGACCCCCGTTACATGTGTGGTGCCCCCTAGTACAAACAAAATGAGATGGTTCCCTACTCTCCAATAGATCACGGAGATGACTCTCTGTCCATCACTTCTAAAATTCCTATCCAGCAGCCACTCACTGGAACACACCAATTATTACAATTATGTAAATTAGTACGTAAGGAATTTATGTTTTAATTTACATTATTGTGATAATGTAGGTGCTGCTTCTTTTTTTTTAAAGGTGGCGAAATGGATTTGGTACAATAAATTTAAAGAAAGTTCTACGGTACCTCTAAAATACCACTTCCTCTGAATACACGATAAATATTATTTACAGTACTTTCCCATTCTAATTTATAATTCGACGTTGCATTGGCCTCAATACATTTTCCCAGGATGAATCCTTGGAAAATGAATCGCATTTGTTGGTAAGTAGAAATTTTCAATCTAAAGCCTCCGAGATCATCTGTGTGGCCTTCTAGATGGACTCACCAATCTCCACCCCGTATGTACTCTTGATTCAACCCCACACATACACTCTCAACATCGTTTCCTCCCCAATAGCCCCGGATGGCCTAGTAGGAGACGCTTACAAGCGTATTATTTCTGTTTCTCCACTCTGCTGTTTTAGCTGGAAAAATGGTAAGGATTCCCGGCCTACTTTCCAACATCAAATCGTCACCTGCGGACCTCCAATGTTTGCCCGTCCTCGCAGACTTGCAGGAGAACGCTTTAGTGCGACAAAGCAAGAATTCGACCTTCTTATTGGAACTAGGCATCATCCGACCATCAGCGAGCCATTTGGCCAGTCCTTTGCACACAGTGTCCAAGGCTGGTAGAAAATGGTGCGCGACTGGAAATTATCGACATTTGAACTCATATCACTCGCCCAGACCGCTACTCGCTGCTAATTATTGAAGACTTACTTCAAGAATCAAGCGGTTGAGTATTTGGTCATCGATCTGCCACAAGCCTTCTATCAAACTGTAGTCGCTCCTGAAGTCCCCACGATATCTGTAAAACAGCCGTTACCACTTTAATTCGTTCGAAGGACCCTATGCCTCCGCAACGCCGCCCAAATCTCTACAGCCACATCCTTATAGGAAGCTGATTGGGATAAGTGCCAAATTGGACTTTCTGAAGTCACCTTTGCTCGTTACCATATTTACAAAAAGGGGTTTTCGCCCTAAGATTTTTTTCTACTTGATTTTTCCTTCGAACGTTCTCCAAAAACCATTTTCCGATTCTTTCATTTTGTAGACCGACACCTTTTCTGACATGAATCGTTTTCATCTACGTTGCCAGAATATTACCTAAAAAAGGCTAGTACGCAAGTCCCCCTCACAACACCGTTTCAGAACCGGAGAATAATCCCCAGGTTCGCCCCCTGGTATTGCTATGTGCAAGGAGATAATGAGAAATATAGGGTTTTCCTCTCATAAAACCAGGGTAATATAATATACCTAATAGGGTAGATGACAAATTTTTTAAAACCACTTATAACTGTTCGTATACCTCTACTATAACTTTAAAATATGATATTTCAGCAAAATAAATCATATTATTGCAAATTTATGCAATTTAAATTGTAGATTTTTATTGTAGCGCCAAAACGCTGTTTTGTGTCATGGCGGTGGCGGTGTCTGTGACGTCACAGTCCTGACAATTATAAACACATAACCCCAGCGTAAATAGTTTAAAAGATTTCGTGATGAATTATAACTACTATAAGTGGTGCCCTACCATGGGGTACACCTTGTCGTGGTGGTAGGGCTCAGTAGTCACATTTTTCTATGGCACAGCTAAGTATACCAGGCGGGTAAATCTGGTTACAAGGATGCTGTATCATTCAAATGCTTCATGGAGTAGAGAAATCCAAAAGGGTTCTCGACGACTGCTCATTAAACGTAATATAGAAACCTATATTGACATGAGCAGCACATGTTTCACGTACATTAACTCCCGAGGCGTGCGGTAGACGACAATTTGGACAACTTCCGAATCCGATTCAGCCATTTGCCGATAGGGTTTCGAATAATCGGACTAGATGGGTAGGAAGGAAGCATGGGGAAACCAACTATTTTGTCACGCAATTTCTAACAGGGCATGGAGAAAATGGGGTGTATCTGAAAAGAATAAGAAAGATGGACAGTGATGCCTGCACAGACTGTGGTGCTGTGGATGATGCAGGACACGGAGTGTTAAAGTGCCCAAGGTGGGAAGCCGAGAGATACCGCGTCGCCATTAGAGTAGGAGAAGTAATAGAAAAGGATAACATAATCGAAACAATGCTGGAAAGTGCAGAGGAATGGAGACCCCTCTGGAAGAATGCTTGAGCGATGCCCAGAGGCGGATATTTTGGAGATTAAGGGATAAGGAGTTTTAGTGGGTGTGAGCCCCACACTACCGTTTGCGAACAGACGGTGTGTGGTAAAAAAAGATCATGACTTGTTAAACGTGATAAAAGAGACTTGATGGTAGGGCAAAGAAAATAATTGTTTTCTTCGTCGACAACTAAGGAAACTGCATACAGCTTTGCGTGAACCGTATGTTGCGGGCAAATTTTGACTTAACTGTGAATAAGTTGCCATCACGCTTAAGAGTCTTCTGTTCGACTGCACCCAATGTAAGGTTCCATAAGAACGCCCGCTATAGGAACTGTTTTTCCAAAAAAAGGTGTTTTAAGAACTACTTTAAAATTTAGATCTTTATCTACAAAATGTTCGTAATGTAAAAAAGTTGCGCTTACGTAGACGTACAGAAAACTCTTAAAGTGGACATAGCTTACTAAATCATCTCCATATGATAGCTTCGATGACCTAAAAACAAAGCATCTTATATCACAGTTTTGATACGGTTCTGTGCAACGTCTCCCTGTCTACACTGATACGATACGGGGATACGATACGAGGATACGCAACAAATCTGGACCGGTCTTGTACACATTCTTCTAAATAACTCATTTCTTGTAATAAGCTTAACTTAAAAACCTACAAGACTTATATGGCAGTTTTCTGATGAGCAAAAATCTTTCTGTTTGATGCAAGAAATATTCCCAACATCATTACATCATTTTTTGGCAGATTTGATGCTATCAGCTTTCGTATACCCACTTTCCATTCCTATCTGGTTTTAAAAACTAAACTTTAGGATAATATGATCACCATAAAATGGAACAAGCACTAAATTAAAAAACGTGGACAAACTATATCAACGCACAGAGGATTAGGATAGTGACGTCACGCGCTCTGATTGGCGTTTGATATCACGTGACAAATGTCGTTATTTTTTAATTTTATTTTTACTAAAATATAATAGTTTCTCTTGTACATTACCAAAGAAAGTTATTTTGCGATACCCTGGTACCTTACTCTATCTTATGTAACAAACATTTATTTATTCTTTTTCCACTGTCATGTAGCCTATTATGTAAAAATCGAATAAATTTGGAAAAATGTCAACTTTCATATACACATGTAAATAAAGTGATTTCATTGAAGTATAATAGAAATGTTCAATGTTCAGAAACTGGAGTATAATTTTGTCTCCTTAGTAATGTGATTCAGGCAATAGGTAGTTAACCCACAGTATCTCTTATACACAATTTTGGTTTTATAACTCAAACTGATATGTAAAATAAAGTGAAGTGCAAAATTGTTTTACAAAAACAAGATGGTAGCAGCTGCAAAAGGAAATGTTAGAGGTAAAATTCTGAGGTTCCCCTCGTTAATATTGCAGCGATCTTTCTAGAACATACTCAAGACTCCATCAAGTCCATAAATATGATATTCCGATTCGCGACTTCTCTTAAATATCTTTGTTTGCTATATTAGCAAATTGAATTGTGTTTGGTTTTAGGTTTAACATGGATGCTAAAGTGCTATAAATAGTGAAATTCGCGCTCGTGTTGCTTCTACTAAAGTTAATCAGATGTAGTGATGTGAAATTACACGTTTTTTTAAAGTGCGTAATATTATTTCATTTCATTTAATTCCTTCGACAAATAACATTTGTATGGAACAAGTCAATATAACATTAAGTAAACAAACAAACAATTAAATATTGAAGGATATAAAAAATTCTTGTATGTTGTAGAAACACCCATTGACTAGATACTTGTACAATTGCTTTTTAAATTTATTCCATGTAAGGCAGGTTCTTATATTATGAGGTAAATGGTTAAAAATTTTAATTCCCGAAACTAGTGGAGAATTTTGTCCTATTTTAGATCTGGCCAATTCTGTCCTGAACTGATCCTTGTTGCGTAAATTATAAGAGTGCTCATCTCTATTTGTTTTTAATTTCTCCTGACTATTAAAAATAAGTTTACATATTTCAAATATATACATGCCGGTTACGGTAAGAAGGTTAAGTTCCCTGCAGGTATGAAATTTGGATACATTCGTAATTGTTCTCAGAATTTGTTTCTGAGATACGTTTTTAGACTATGGATGATCCCCATAGACATATACCTACCATACCATACCTGATTACAGACGCAACCAGCACATGATATATGTTTATTAACTGTGGTAGCATCATAACCGTCCGTAAGTTACCAATTGTTTATGTTTTTTATGGTATTTTATGTAATTTATGTAACTTACCATTTTTTTTTAATGTAATTTTACAGTAAAATTACCAGTAATTTATGTTTTTTACATAATTTACAAATATTTTTGTAAAATTACCTGTCATTTATATTTTTTATGTTTTTTTTAATATTCCATCTACCTTTTTGAATTATGTGAGTGTTTGAAAACAAAAACACTGGATAAATTATATATTTTGATGTATTAAATAAAATACCCAAACAGTAGGTATTTCGCCATCCCGTGTCGTTTGTTTGCAAGGAGAAGTTCCAGATCGCGAATTAGATGCTGTATCATCTTCACTAAACCAAACTAGATTCAACGGTGGTTGATGGAGTATTAAAAGAAACATAAAAATATAAATGACAGGTAATTTTACAAAAATATTTGCAAATTACGTAAAAAACATACACGTTTACGTTGGTAGTACCGTTGATGGTCTGTGGTAGTACCGATCAAAATGTTAAAATAGGTATTACATTTACGTAAATTTACAAAAATTACGGTTTTTTAAATAAAAACGAAAGTTACGTAAATTTCATATAAGCCATAAATTACATAAAACAGCCGACCTCATGTAAGTTACGCGTAATATTCTTATGTAACTTACAAATCGTTATTTTAAACGTTTACACTAATCGGATGTAATAAAAATCAAATGTGCGCATCCGGAAATCGCAGAACGACACATTTTTTATGTACGCAAATTTTGTTTGAAATTGTTACCATATTAATGCTAATAATAATATAATAATAGATAATAATAATATTTTATTATCCAAACAAGTAAATATACTCAATAACAGGACAATATTCCAAAAAATTACAAAATCAAAAGTACATGCGAGTAGTTTAGTAATTAATTAAAAAAAAACACTTCAAGATATTAATAAGGAAGTAGTTATTTGTACAACTAGTTTTGAAAGTGATACTTTTTTTCATGAATTTGCAGTTTGATTAATGAGGGCGAAGCCCGAGTTAATCAAGCAAATTCATGGAAAAAAGACACTTTCAACACGTGTTGTACACGAATTTTTTTTTGCATAGTGATCCATAATAACCCACAATTGAATAATTTTATTGACATTCGCGATTTACTGTCACTCAAAAATGGATGCTATTGTTCATAGACAGCACTAAACTCTATGGAAACGCATAGTAAAAATCGTGAAAAAACTACCACTTTCCATACGATTTTTCGTTAAAAAAAAGTCCGATAATTTCATCACTATGTAAAAAATAAATTATAACTCTATTGATTGCAACAACCGACCCAAACCTTCATGAAAAACGTCTACTGGCGCGGATATGTTACTAGTAAAGACAAACATATCGTATAAATTTCAAGCACGTTAAAATCTGTCCAACGGTTATTCCAATATTAATCTCAAATTCAAGTCGGTTTGAAAGTTTTCTGGAAAGGATATACACGTCAGCCTTATAGACGTAAATGAGAAAGTATGGTGCTGTGAAATACTAATCAAGACAACATTTTTGTAATAAAAGCTAGAATCATCGTGTTTCGTATGTAAATTTCCCCAAATTTAAATACGGCCGCCCTTCAATTAATTGCTATTCTCCCATGCAATCAAGTCGGAACATTCTAATTAAAAGTAAAGGGAGACTTTACTGTTGTGTACCTTTTATTGAAGTTTGTGATGGCGCCCGAAGGAAAAGTGTGTTAGTAATACAAAATGCTAAACCAAATTTAACATCGACAAAGTTTAGATAATGACAGTGTGCTTTAGGAAGTGGTGGCATTCCGAAGACCTCCACCCCGCATTCCTGTGGTTTCGTGATCAAAAGCAAGAAGTCAATTACCGCCGCAAACCCGATAATGAATTTCGCTACTACATCACCTGCTCGGCCATCGTCTTCTTGGCGATGTGCGTAATGCAACTTTCCACAATCTTTCTACCCAGGTGAGTGAAAATGCTCGAGTAAGTGGGTACGCGCAAATTGTGATGAGAATTATGCGAGGGGTTAATGCTTAATTCTATTACCCCTCACCGTTTGTGAGGTGCTGGCGCGCATCAAGGACCACGGGCAATTATTTACGTTTTGCTTGCGAAGTTAATTACACGTACACGTTTTTATTGCAACATTTTCCCACTCAAGTGTTATATGAAATTATACCTTGTTGAATAATTTTAAGGGAAATTTGCATTTTTAATTACAATTCTCTTAATTTGGACGCGCCTTTATGGCTCGTTCTATGTAAATCACTTTTAATCAAGTTATATATTGAAACTTTTATAAGGTGATAAAGTTTCATGTCGTCACTGACAAACCGTATATTTACCGAAATTCTACTGGGGTATCTTGGCGAATGTCATTACCGCCGAAGTGGACACAGTAAAGATTAATTACAATCCTTTTTAAAGTTACTAACTATGCAACTTTATAATTGAATTTAGGAGTTATTTCAAATACCTTAAGACTTTTCTTGTTTTTCTTAATTAGATTAGGTAGAATTTGTGAGAGCAAAATGTCCGCGGGTTGTTTTTATATTCCCGGATTAAGCATGAAAATAAAAAACTAGATTTAGTTCCCCTGCTTTTGAATACACCGTTTCAATCTTCAATTCAGTATATAACAATATTCACTTGGTTTTTCCACAAAATAACCGTGGACCCATTGACCCCAAATGTTGTCCCTCTTTAGATTTGGGAACAAATAATAGCCACTGGGTGCTAAATCTGGACTATAAGGCGGATGTTCAATTTTTACGAAAGTCGGACTTAGTCAGTTGACTTAGAAGGGCGATCATCCCCATATTCATCCAACATTCCTTCAAGAATAATTTTTGGAGGTTCGATTCATAAATCTTGCGTATCAAATCTCCAGACATGAACACCGAATTTCAAATTTCAAATCCTAAATAATTGATCCTTAACAATTTGGATTTTGAAATGCTATGCATCCATTTAAATTTTCCGAAATCCCAAATAATTCTTCTTCAATCTTTTGAAATTTCAACATAAATGTGAACTTTTTAAACTTCCTTGAGAGTCTCGGAGCTTTATTGAGCCCATATGGGGTCATTATAATAATTCTCCATGGGTCTTCTGACTCTTATAGACTTTTCCCGAAACCAAACCTTCACCAAAGATGCCTGAGAAACAAAACTCCTATCTTTTACTTAAACTTTTTCCATTCCCGTTTTACTTTTTCTCCCCCCTTATCTAATTTTGCCCAAGGTCTTTTTATAAAAATCCCATGCATCAAATAGTTTTTTCGTTCCTAAATTACAAAAATTATTAAATTAGACACACACTCACTACTCCTACTAACGCACATTCCCTTTACTCGCAATCGCAAATCTAAATCTCGTAAACCCTAAATTCCTAAATAATCTCTCCCTCATCTGGTTACCTAAAATCTCATAATCTTTTCCTAACTCCTCCCCTATTCCCTTTCTTGGTAAAACATCCACAATTAAATTATTTTCCCCTTTCATGTCCCTAATTTCATACAACTTCTCCTGCAAAATTCTATCCCTACAGTAAACCTACAATTCTAAGGAAATTCCTTAATTATGTAATTAATTAATGCCTTAAATTCCAAAAGGGTTGCTTACATACATCTGAAATTAACTTTCGGCACCGATCAACAAAATTAACCATAATAAAGCATGGGACATTTATCTGGATCGTTAAAGGGTTCAAATAGACACACGATTTACATGAATTCGCACAAACAAAATTTAATTTAAACACGCAAAATAAATTAATAATAAAAATCTAACAATCAAAAATGGACTACAACAAGGTCCTTTTACACACCTCGCATAAGCCTTCGATTACAATTAAACAAAATAATGAAATCTTAAAACCACTTACAGTTTTCTGTTAAAATCTCAAAAATTCTTCTTTAACTTCTGATCAGGTCACAGGAACGTAATTTTACTCAATTCGAATTAAACTGGCTGGCCAAACGCACGACCGACGAAAGCGGCGGCTGTCCGGAAACAACAACAACTTTCACTCGAACTCGGCTGACTTGCTGATTACCACGTGATGAATTCCACTTGCCGAATAAAACTAAACTTATGGCAGGATGCGTGTCTTACGCTTTCAACGAACAGCAACTCGACCTCAAAATTCACTTATGCCAACTCCAGTATTGAACGTCCCTTCCCTACTTCCAAAATTCGAAAAGGACTTTATCCAATTAATGGGACGTAGCAACATGACAACTAGGGAATGTAATACCGGGATCCCGCAGAATTTTTGAGGGATTAATCCCGCACATAAATGGAGCGGGATCCCGCGGGATTTGCGGGACTGAGGAATTTGTCGACCAAGGGGAGACTGTTTACTTTGTTAATGAAACGCACAACGGAGAATATATTTTTTAAATAATAATTGTGTAAACCTTTTTCGTTAAAAATGTACTACGATTTTTAAGGCACTTTAGAAGTTCACCTTTTTGTGCTTTAGAGATGAGGTTTTTTTGAGTTCTAAGTTAGGCTGAAGGTACTTTTTTTGTTAAATATTGTGATAATTAGCGATTTATTATAATACAGAAGTTAACCGTACAGCATTGCTTATTTGCCAATTTATTTAAAGTTTTGCGGGATCCCGCAAATACCGGGATTGAGATTTTGCTGCGGGATTGCATTCCCTAATGACAACCAAATAGAACTCCGTTTGTTAACGTCGCTATAGTCACGTAGGTATCAAAATTTTACGCGGAATTGATCTTAGATAACAATTTTCTAAGAAGATACACAATGTTTTGTCGATTGAGTGCATTATCGCTAGTAAATTATATCAACCTTTTATAAAAGTAATCAAAATGCCCATAAATTAAATTAGAATTGTCACATAAATGATTTAACACAGCAAAATTGATAACGGGATAAATTGCCCTACATTTAACAAATCTAGGAAGATTGAAAAAAAGAGAGGAATTATGTAGCGGCGAGATTGCTTTTCACTAATTTTGGATAGCATGTAATAGAAGAGGGGCGAAGAGGGAAGAAGATGGAAGTGGATAATATGGAAAGGAGACAGAAAATCTCAAAGAAAAAGACATGAATGTTATGCTTTGGAGTGTGAGGGTAGCAAGCCAAGAACGTTTCTTGCATCTTGTAAGAGAATGCGCAGTTGTGGGTGGGATTGAAGGAAACATGGCTAGAAGAGAAGAACTGGGAGAAAATGATTAATAAGATGCCCAAATACAGAAGAACTAAAGGTGGTATAATAAGTGCAGTAAAAAGAAATCGACTAGGGAATGAAGGAAAAATAAGGAGAGAAGGATGGAGGAGAAAAATAGAGATACCGATTTAGATTTACAACAGAATTGGAAAATGGGGAAAAACAAAAGTTGTTCTATACTACTCCGATATTTACCTTGCGAAAACTGCAGGAAAACCCGAGGGAAAACCTAATTCGGAGTAACAGGCAGAGTGCTCGAAACGTATCTAAGGAAAGTCCCATCTCTGCCAGAGATGAAAAATTTTTACCTCCGACAATGTACACATAATTAGTAAAATTAATAAAAAATTAATAAAATTTATTCTAACACATCATAAAAAAATACGAAGAAAAAAATTTAAGGCTGAAGGTGCCTTGGGAATAGAATACACCTCGTTTGCAAACGGTCGTTCTCAAAACCATTTTAAGAGCTCTCAAAAAATACGAATATGCGAAGATTCTTGTAAGAAAAATTACTTTTAATATGCCAAAATTGGGTAGAAAACAAAAAACACTTAAATTTATGACTGCTCTGATAATAAGACTTCTCTTGAATTACAACAATTATTTCTTCATTCTTGATAGCACAACTTTGTAAACTCTAAATTACATCTGTAAAAACTTCTTGCACTTTATAGCTTCTTTCCACATTACTTTTTTGTTAACATGAGGGCCACTACATTTTTCTTCTTTTAAAATCACGTATCCGGCTAGACAACCGGTGCGAATTAGCGTCAAAGACTTGACACTCTCTTTCAAAATAACCCCAAACAGCCACGTTAATACTTAATTCTTGCTATTTTCGTTAAAAACCACTTCCACTAATAATTTCCACATCGTTGTTTACCAGCGACACACGAAATTCCACACCGTCGCTCGAACAGATAACCACCTGGATTGCTTATCTCGCACGTGGCATTGTTTATTGAAAAAGTAATTAAAACTTTTTACGGACAGCTGGCCAGTTAAAACTTTTAACTTTTAATTACGATTAAAACACATCGCATTACGTATAAATCGAGCACACTGCGTAATACCAACTTTTTTTTTATTTACGGGCATATTTTGTAGAAATTTTAACCACAGATAAGACAAACATATCGCATATAGTATGAATTAAATATGCACGGTCAACTGTTTGTCCATAAAAAGGCTTGTCTGGCTTGTGCCCATATAGCCTTTCGGAAGGTACAAATCTATGCATGGAAAATGCGATAGTTACTCTTTTTTCTTGTTATTTTTATCAATCAATTTTACTGCTAATTTACGATTACTAAATTTCAGCATCATTGTCTTTATATTCTTGTGATGAATTTAGCTTGAAGTGAATTACAACCTCGATTGTTTTCGCTATATATTTTGAAATTCCCAATCGCTGCCTAAATATAGTTGAGGAATAATGGCGCTACCCTTCAGCTGTCATGTAATCAAACGTAAATTATTACGAATCGATTGAATCGCCGTAACGCAGGTGTCCTTTCACGCGTTATAAACTGAGCAGCTATCAACCATTACAACTTCCCTTTAATTCCCCGCAGGCTTATCACAATTGACCTGTTCATAATACTGAAATCCAATCGGTTTCCGTACAATCGTGCGTTAACTTTTTCAGAAACATCGTCTTGTATGGAACTTTAGGCCCTACCATACTCGTACTGGCAGTATTCGTATATTTATCATGGTTGGACCACTGCTGTAGGCAGGAGCCGCCCTCGGATACACCACCGGACGAGCTTGGCGTATGTGCGCCACCAAGGCAAGTAATTGCCAACCACAAGGGACTGCGACTCTCCATTTTTCTCATCACGAGCGTGCTCGTCTCAGCCTGCGCCGTTATGACCTTGGTATGTGAGTGAAATGACGAGGGAGTTACGTCAATATTCAATAATATAGGTAGATCCCGATCAAGATCCAGTTCCCGTCATGCTCAACATTGAAAATGGGACCACTACGGTCGAAACGTCTGGCTACATTGCAAAATTTATACCGGTAGGTAGGGAAAACGTAGCGTTCTTACTTAGTGATGGGTTTTAGACGTACATTTACAGTTCAGTGTTGTCGCTGACTTGCATTTGGGTGTTTTTGAAGTTGGAATTTCTGCTGAAACTGCTTGTGATGCTAATATCTGCCGTTGTTCACATTTGCATCTACAGCCAGCTGAGTATCTTCCACAACTACCACGACTCTCTCAAAGACCACAAGTACCTAAGCCCGAATCAGTTGTAGATAACCCTAACGTTCAAATTGTAGATTTCCCCTGCTGCCCTTTGAATTTCAAATATCACTGGTACTGTTCGTGGTTGTGGCTTTATTTTACATACTGGATCGACAAATAGAGTTTACATCGCGCACAGATTATTTATGGAAGTCAAAGTTGATGGTTGAGCAAGATGAGGTTGAAACGATGCGGGGTATTAATAAGGTAAACCAGACTTAATTAAAGCCCTTCTGAGGCAAATTTTCGCAACAGATTCTGCTCGAAAACATTTTACCCGCTCACGTCGCAGATCATTATCTGGCAACACGAGGTGACACCCAAGATCTCTATCACGAACGTTATTCCTGCATAGCAGTCATGTTCGCATCAATTCCCAACTTCAAAGAATTCTACGACGAAAACGACGTTAACAAACAAGGCCTCGAGTGTTTAAGGCTGTTGAACGAGATCATTTGCGAATTTGACAAGGTAAGGGCGTTGAAAATTAGATCCACCGTAACCTGCGTCTTTCAGCTGCTCTCGAAGCCCAAGTTTAGCTGCATCGAGAAAATTAAAACTATCGGGAGTACGTACATGATAGCATCCGGACTGAATCCGGGGAACGAAGACGGGAACGGGGTAAGATATATTGTTCTAACAGTAATTCTGTAATAACTAATAATGTTTGAACGCTACATGCCTCTTTGGATAACTCGAAGGTAATCGCTTTATCGCTCGGTTTAAAATTGAGTTTTAATGAGTTTGTGTGTTTTCGGTTACCGAAGGAAGCTTCCCGTAAAGAAGAGCACATCATAACGGCGTTAGTGGACTACGGAATAGCATTAATGGGAAGTTTAGATCAAATTAATCGAGATTCCTTCCAAAGGTTTAAACTGCGAGTTGGTAAGTCAATAATCGATGATATGATTGGTACAAGTTGTAGTGGAATTAATCTATTTTCGTACAACACAATACAAATTCCTAAACGATGTTATCTAAAGATACATTTACGAATCTAATTTTATGAAATTGAATCTGGACATATCCAGTGCCATATCAAATGTGATAATTTTTATTATGTTTCGTCAGGGTGGCTTTTAACTCGTGCGTGTTCTAGTGTCGGGGCGGCATCCATTCTGTCAAATTAAAACGCCCTAAGTTCCCGATGTGACAAAATTCTAAACCGGATATGAATTTCATAACTACCAAAAAACCTTTGACACATAGACGAACTTTTTTCGTGCTAACCGACGTCATTTTAGATTGCGTACTTTCGCGAGAAAGTATATTTTGAGCAGTACAGGAAAGGTTCCTGTAGCCCAAAACTAAACCAAACTACAGCCTTTAGCTACCGTGATATATCCCGGCTTGACCCGTAATCTCTTCCAAAAACATCTCTCGGAATAATCCCTACCCATTTGAACTAATTAACGCCCGTTCCAAAATGGCGCCTGCTAGTGAAAAAATCAGAATCGCATTACTTGGGGTGGCGCTAAAAAAGTGACCTAAAAAAGGGAACCAACTAAAACAAAAGGACCACGCAAAAGAAATAGCATTTTTTCCCATAGTTTTCAAATACGCTATGGCAGACAATTTAAAGTGTAGCTTTCGGGCCGTCAGGCGCCCTTCAATGTAATGCAACTCCCTGAACTAAACCATGAGAACCGTGTAAAGTCATACCTCAAAAATTCCTCTTTTTGTCACTATTTCACGTATATCATGGTAGATGATATTACGTGTAGCTTTAAGAGCGGCAGATGGCTTAGAAGATGAAGAAAATTAAGGTGTGGAAAATTCCAACGAGTGCGAGCGGGTGAAAGATATGCGTTTGAGAGCATAACGAACAAAGATAGCGATAGTTACCATGTACGCTACCTAGTCCACTAGCTCTAGGTCTAAGTATAAGAGGAGGTTTTTAATGGAGTTGATTTTTTAAATTTTAAAGGGGTCGGAATTGAATTTCGTTGGGGTAGCTAGGCGTTAGACAGGGTAGTTCTATGAAATAGTGGATTTTTCAAAATGATGTTATTCTAAATTTACTTTGGGTAGATAATTTCCAAATAAACTAAGCGCACTTTTTCTCGTGGGACGATGTGCCATAGAATTTTTTCTTTTGTTCTGTAATGGCGTGATTAAATTGATGCAGCAGTCTGTCGCTAAATTATCTCAGGTTCATGATAAGTAAAGTTGCAGTAAATTACATCCTGTACTTGATAAAAAAAGACGTATCTTGGAAAAAACCTGTCGGTTTGCAAAAGAAATAAGTGGGGACGCGTCACGGAGAAAGAAAGTTTAGAAATTCTTCGTGCAGCCCCACCGAGTGGGAAACTACGTTTTTCTGGCCAGCGAAAATTTCTTTACGCGACTAGTTAAAAACGTAAGGGATGCTTCGTTTATCCACAGAGGGGAAAACCGCTTTTAATATTTGTTATACGTTACCGGGAGAAATTTTGATGCGGGTCGTTTTAAAAAAAAGCTAAAATCGCGCCTACACTCATGTGCCTTTATTTCTCTATGTAGAACACAATAAATTGAGGTTGAGTGAATTGCGTTAATGTTGGTGGGAGTTGGGAACAGAGAAGGAAGAACGGAGGAATGTCAGAAAAAAAAGTAAAGACTAGAGACTACGGCAAAAGAGATGAGACAAATTATGTAGGGGCGAGTGACAAGTTTGCTTTTCACTAATTTTGGAGGACAAGTAATAGAACAGGGGTGAAGAGGGAAGGAGATGGCAATGGATAATATGGGGAGGAGACAGAAAATGTCAAAGAAGAAGACGACATGAATGTTATGCTATGTTATGTTATGCTTTGGAGTGTGAGGGTAACAAGCTACGAACATTTCTTGCATCTTGTAAGAGAATGCGAAGTTGTGTTGTGGGATTGGGGGAAACATGGCTAGAAGAGAAGAACTGGGAGAAAATGATGCCCAAGACAGAAGAACTAAAGGTAGTATAATAGGGGCAGTAAAAAGAAATCGACTAGGGAATGAAGGAAAAATAAGGAGAGAAGGGCGGAGGAAAAAATATAGATATCGATTTAGATTTACAACAGAATTGGGAGATGAGGAAAAGCAAACAAGAGATAAAAGAGAATTGTTATTAGAACGTACTGAAAGAATAGCGAATATGAGCAGAAACATGGAGGATGATAATGGAGAGAATACACATACGTGGGGAACTGGGTGGGTGATTATATCATAGTTAACGAAAGATAAATGGAAGCAGAATTCATGATAGGAACAAGAACAGTGTTGGGCCAGCCCGAAGAGAAAAGTACCTACATTAGAACAGTGATGAAAAAAGTAGGAAAGATGGAGTTAAGAGAGAACAAATGAAGGTGCAAAAAAAAACAAGTCAAGAGAAAAGATGAAAGACAAAGAATTTGAAGTAGAAGAAGACAAATTTCTGGAAGTTAATTACAGAAATGGGAAAAAATATACCGAGAGCCCAAATATAGGACTAGGGCCGGGAATTGGAGGAAGCACTTATCAAGGTTCTACAAGAGAAACAGAAAGGGTGGACCTTCACAAATGAATTTTTCTTGCGCAATATTAAGAATATCCAAAATTCGACGGTTCCCACTGAAAAATATTGATGTGAAAGCACAATCCGGTACATGATAATGAAAAAAAGAGTAAATCAGAAGTTATTAATAAGAAACCTAAAAAATGATTATTCAAGGTCAAGGGTAAATGCATAATTGTTGTTAACATACCGTAATAGTATTTTACATTATTAGCCAGGTAAGTGAGTTTTTACTGGCGATAGGAGAAGTTGACTGGCGAGCCTGTCATCTCCTGTAGCCAGTAAAAACTATTACCTGGCGTATAATGTACAATATTTTATTTGTTACTCATTTGTAAACAATAGTAAACGTAAATAATTAGTTCTTAAATTCATCTCGAAGAAATGTCTAAAATATCATGTTTTCCATGTAACAGAGACTTCGCATTAATTCTGGCCAACGAAATTACTAGATCACTAACTTATAAAATTTTTACAGGTCAGCTGTCAGTTTTACAAGTCAGTAGCGTTTAAACATGACGTTTACCCGTTTGCGTTTTGTCTTGTTAATCAACGTTTACAACTGAGTAACAAATAAAAGCCTTAAACTTGTAAAATATATCAGCAAATAGCGTCAGCGAAGCATAAAAATCAAAATAACAAGAGAAAAACTTCACTAAACTTAAATCCCAAACAAGCTGACAAAATTCTAGAGTTACTAATGGCGTCTACCATCTTGCAAGTAATGGTAGAATCTCGGCTTCGTACAAGGAGTGCGTGCGCCGAGAAGAAATAAAGAAATCTCTGCACGACCTCGAGCGGCAATACAATTAACTATGTGAAAGAAATCTATAAGAAGAAAATACAGAACTTAGTCAATAGAACTCGACTACAAAACTAACTTACATCTCAACTAGTGAATTACAAAGTTACACCTCTCAAAATAAGAGGGCTACTCGTAAAACAAAGAAATTACAGCACGGGCTGGCAATTGTTCTGTTCATCTTCCACAGCAAAACCTGAAAAAAATGTGTAATTTAACAAGGTGGATTAGACAAAATTAGGGATCTACAAAAATTGCAATTAGAACTACATTACTTTTACCCTGTTTGCTTAACGTGTCGAACTCAGGCGTGCTAACAGTAGAATGGTGCCCGCAAAGAGGAAATTGGAGCGCAAATACAGTTTAGGTATGCCAGTGAATCTCAATTAATTATACCAGTGACCGTAAAACAAAAACAACCAATACGTACTTACGGAAATAAACTGTTACTCCCATTCTTTCTTCAATGCACTTGAAATTAACGATGGTAATCGTTGGTTTGCAAAAGCAAAAAATATGGTAGTCCCAATGTTTTGATAGATACACTGGGCCGACAACTAAAACTTGAGAAGACGAATATTCTCGGGAAAAATGTTTCAGTCAAATTTACCAGTACACAATTTTTCTTGGGGAAATGTGCCAATGTTTCGGAGAGAACACCTTCGAGGTGAAATTGTGAAGACAATTCTATATAGGTGACTCTCTCTCGAGAGGAATTTATCTGGTATGGTACCTAGTTTATTCCGGAAACGCTACTTGGAAGAAGAATTATTTCAATTTTACATAAATACCATGTTGTCAGAGCTTCTACAAGATTCAAGACGCAATCAATACTGCTAGTTTCATAAATGTATACCTACCTTTCAGTACAAACGGTAATAAATATTACGAATAGACACAGAAATGTATGCTATTCAAAATTGCTTCACTGGAAATTTAAAAATCTACATTTATGAAACTCTTTCGTTACTTATGTGTTGTGTTTTTCTATAGTAATTCGTGCCATATGGATTCATTTCCGAATCCACGAAATTACGCAGAAAGTTCGACTTTTAATTTAAATTTTGTGTATTATGTGTTCTCTACCCCCTTAAAGAAGCAATTTTATGAATTTGCTGTGTACAACGCTATATTAATTGGCACTACGCTCAAATATTAAAGCAATGCCATTGAATTTAACGCGAATAGCTAAATGATTCTTTAATATCCAGCTTCGTTTTAGGAAATTAATCCGAAAAAGCAGGGGCATGCATTAATCATCGCTTTTCAAAGTTACATCTGTTACTTAATTTATCAATTCGAGCTCAAGTTTCGAGTTCTGAAGTTATTCACTAAGACACTCGAAAAGCACCTACGTTCAAGTATGATGTTTTACGATTTAGCGCGTCGTGGAAAGAAGACGTCTATGTAGGTAATCGATCCAATCTCCATAAATAAAATTCGTTACGACCAACGAACCCATAAATTCGCGAGGCGAGGGCCGCGACAAAATACGTCTATAACCCACAACCGTAAACCTAAAACTTCGGTCTGCGAAATTGAGAGCACTGGTTTATGTTTGTAATAATTTTTCGTTTCGTCAGGTATAAATCACGGTCCCGTGATCGCCGGAGTGGTTGGTGCCCAGAAACCCCAATACGACATTTGGAGCAACACCGTTAACGTGGCTTCCAGGATGGATTCCTGCGGAGTGATCGGACGGATACAAGTAAGCGAGGATACGGCCAAGATCCTTACGAACGCCGGATATTCCTGTGAATGTCGTGGTCCCACGTACGTAAAGGGGAAGGGAACGCTGACGACTTACTTTGTTAAAACACCATTCGACGAAAAATAGATTTATTTCGAACGGCGAAACTTTTGGTTGCTGCTTTTCAAGTTGTTTGTGCACCGAGTTTATGGATTGAGTACCTGACTTATGAGCGAAATCGCGACTGGTTGGTTTCAATAATTGTTATTATTTTCTAGGATTTTTATACGTTGTTAAAATTGTAAGACACCACACGTGTTACGGCATTTAAGTGGCAGTTCACTAAAGATCCCCTATTTCCGAATGGTAACGCGTGAGATGTAACTGAGTATTTTTTCGACAGTCTAGCTTAGAGTTTTTGACTTGTGACATATCCACACTTGCATTCAGTTTTCATTATACGCCAAATATTAACCAATTGTGTAATCTAGTCAAAAACAAATTGTGAATGTATTTTAAATGAATATATGATTGTAGGAAAGAGATAGAGATACCTTTTTGAAATTACCCATAAGTGTGTATATTTTTTTATATTTACGAATAAATTCATATTATATACATTTAGCAATACGAATTAACTTATGCTGTACATATTTATATTTTCAATAGAGAACATGTTTTCAAGCCGATTTATTTTAAACACCTTTCAATGTTTCAGAAACCATGACACCTTAATAATTGTGATAAATTTCTATTGAAATAGGTAGGTATCTAATCTCCACAACATTTTAGACTACTTGGTGAATGTTATGTTTTATTAAAGGACATAACTAGTTATTGATAGTGTAACATGTGGTCGCTTTAGAATCGAAATAGTAATTAGTAGGTACCGCTTCATAGTAAACTTGAACAAAAATATCTCTGGTGATAAACGCTCTCTTTGAAATTAAAAGTTTCGGTTCCGATTGCTTCGTCTAAAAAATAGGGTTTGTTTCAGTCTACCGTGCCAGATTCAAATAGCGGAAGAGGCGGGAGAAAAAGGAGAGATTCTTGCTCTAGTTCTTGAGCCGAAACTGACATTTTGTCTCTAAGTATTACTTTCTCAAATTTTAAAGCTGATATGTTTGGATTTGCCGATTATAGGAATTTTCCTTCCGTCAAAATTGGTATTCATCATGATGATAACGTAATTTTTTGAATTGTAATAAAATAACGGTCGGTTATGTTTGGGAATACTAGTTCAGTTTGCAGTAATTTAAATTTTTCCTAAAGGAATCGACCCATGAGAATTATTTGTATTAATTTATTGATAAGGATCAGATCCAAGCAAATGATTTGAATTATTTTATCTCATTGATTGAGATTTGCAATTAATTTCAGTAATACCATTCCTTTGGTAATTGGTTTAATATTTTGTTTCGTATTCCAGCTGTGTGTGTATTTTAAACAAGAGGATGTACCAGGAATTTATCATGTGGCAAAGATAAAATATTTAGATAAGAATGAAAAGCAGGGACACGTGGTCAGGAAACTTGGATGATCTCTGTAATTTAAATTTGTGAGTGTGCATATTTTTCCCATTATATGGTTAGGAAACAGGTATCAAAATGCGGTTTCCACTGATATTTTCACATTTCATCTTATTTATATATAATTGTATCGCTTCATTTGACATTTTCGAGAAAACTTGCAAAGTTTATGTCAATGTCAAAACGCGCCCTGTACCACTCATCACGTTTACTAAAAATTCCAATAAGACCCATTATGTAAAAATCAGTTAACCTAAACGGAAGTTACATGCAACACCTTAAAGAAATGTTCCTCTTCCCCACCACTAATAATTTATGAGCTAGAGCATAGATTCCCAACGGGGGCGATACCGATTTCAGGAGAGCGGTAGGGGCGCTCAGCTTTCAATGAAATGGAATCATTTCGAATCTATACAGGGTGGCTAGAATGTAATGGGACAAGGCTCTCCTGCTGAAACAGTTCCAGGTATAGATTTCAAGTTTGGAAGACTTCAATGAGACATTGTGTGCGTGTTTCGGAATAAAAAAGAAATTTCCTCATTACCCAATTTTGAGGGCGGCCGCCACCTTGAATTTTTTTTAATGGCAACTTGGAATCATACGACACATCATTAGGAAACAAGTTATTTCTTTCTGATTATGTAAACATTTAAGTAAGTCGCCCGAGGCTTAAATATCAAGTAATGCCTGAGGTGCATACAACATTTTATTTCCATCGTTCCAAATAATGCATTTCCAATATACAAGTGTAATGATTATTGTTTGGCCAACATTAAAGTGCTTCATACGAATCAAGTAGCATCTTTTTTATTACATAATGTAACTCCGTCAATATATTTGACAGGCCGTTTGGGGGTATAATGAAATGACAATCCATTATGCCCTCAGGCGTCATAGACTGCGATGAAATAGTACATTATATATCAAGGTAGAGAAGTACAGTATTATTGCCTGAGCACCAAGATTACATCTCGAGGCGCTTGCGCCGAGGGGTGTAAGGTGCGAAGGCAATAATAGATTTCTCTACCGTGGTATATGTACAATTTTTTTCACTACTAGCACTTGAAGTCCTCTAAATTAACATATTATATTGATAAGAAAGTGAACGGTTGGACAGAATTCTTTGTTTGTTAATTTAACATGTCAATCAATTGCGTAGAAGTACAAGTCACACAGGCCGTATTTTGTTCTGTCATTGAAATACTTTCAGAGAGTAATTTCGTTCGAATTTTTTCAAAATGTGATAATTTTAGGTATGTAATTTCTCTGGAAATGGCGGATGGTGGCAATTATTCATTTTAGAGAACTTGTCTAAACGTTTATTGAGCGAAATTTCGGGTTGTGTTTTCTAAAAGTGACAGCGTGACAGTTCTCATTTTTGACTACTAGTTAATAATAAAAAATTATTAACCACTTTGAACAAATGCCGAGAAAGCCTACTTTACAAGTGGAAAAAAGGTTAATAATCATGTCATCAGGCGCTAGTAGAGAAAAAAAGAAATTTCTTGCTTACCCCAATTTTGAGGGCGGCCATCATCTTGAATTTGTTTAAATAGCAACAGAGGTCATATGACACATTATTGTAAAACGTCTTGTTTTCTCTCTCTAGTGATATAAACAACTAACCCTTTTTTTGGAAAATGTCAAGAAAACTTAATTTTTTTATCTGATCTAAACTAAAGAAACCAGGCTCTCCTAATGGAATGGTTCGAAATATTGGTTTGCAGTTTAGAGACATTTTTGACAGATCGAGCATTACATTGTCATCGCTGTATAGTGCCTACATTGTTTATGATAGTAGAGGTGTACGTTTTGAGCTCCCCTCCAGTAGATTCAACTGGTATTTTTATTAGTGTACGGGTTACTCCAACTAGGCAAATGATTCCACGCTAATCCACGAAATAACAGGTGGATTACGTATACTATTGAACCAAAGCGATATAAAATATAAACCAGAGCTAATAGTCTGATGTTTGATGGAAAAATCGAATAAAATTCTGAAATATGTACCACATGATTCTTTGCTCAACTGAAATCTCGACAACGCCACCCAATGTGATGGAGTGTGAAAATCAGTTAAAATTTGGACACCCTTCATCACATGGCATGGCGTGGTCGAGATTTCAGTTGCGCAAAGAGTCACGTGATACATATTATTATGTGAGTTTGGAATCGCTTTAAATTTGGACACCCTTCAATATGGATGGACGTGTCCGAACATTTCTTGTTCATTTTCCGGAACCCAAATAGGAGAAATTCCAGAATTGGTGATAAGGTGATTGTATGGTACATGTAACAGAAGAACTGCAACCGTAAGCTTCAAAAACTTTTGTTTGGGAACTGTACGCTCCGAGAAGTTCTAATTTGCGTTCCTTCCTTAGCGTTTGCCTCAGCATAATAGAATAAAACTTCCTGAAAACTTATAAACATAAAAACAAAAAATCCAAGGTTAATTTCGAAAAATCTAACTGTAATATTCTAGACCTGATAATGGAAAATTTGCTGTACGCACTCGATGCAAGATTGGCAAGCACTTTGTGGATACCGTTTTTTAAATGTTATAAAAACCCTGTCATGTAAAATGTCCTAAAACTGATGAAAGATGAAAGGAGGCACAGTCATATAGATTTTTAAGCCAAAATCATTCGATCACATGACATCACAGAAAAAGATTGATTGGCTGATGACAATACCTACGATATGATTATACTCTTTAATAAGCTCTTCTAAAGATAAACGATAAATAGAACTTTTCACGTTCATCTTTCACCTCGAAACAAAGAAATTTTGGCGAGAATTCTAGTTACAATCCACGTTTGGGTATTCAATATCTTTGTAAGTGCACAGTATAAAGCACTCGAACGAGAAAATTGCCCACCCCCCGTAATCCATATTTTTAACTGGGGTGTTTTAATCCGCCGAAATTTATTTTATACTTCACTTTTACGAATTAGTACTAAATTTATTGTAGGTCAGAAGAACGTTCTATGTAGCGGTGTGTCGTACGTTTGAGAGAATTAACCATATTTTATTGTCATGCAAATTGCGCTCGCCAGTATTGATGTCAAAATGTGTGCTATATGGAATCGTTTTTGTCTACAGTTAACAAAAAACAGCTTCAAATGTTAAACCACTTTCGTTTAGCTACAGTTATAGTAATTCACATACATTGTGACGATGTCTCGACATTACGGACACATTTGGACAGGCGCCAAAAGGACGCTGATATTAGGAGGTATGAAATTTGGACGAATGTAAAATTAGACGCGCGATAAAAGGATGCTACCTTTTATCGCGCGTCTAATTTTACGCTTACATGCTTTTGAAAAATTACTGACCGCCATTTTGAGTTTCGAGTCACGTTATATCACGTACAACTTTTACAACAACTTTAACTATGACCCTACTCCAATTCAGACCCATATACGTTTTACAATAATTGTTCCGCGATTTACCAAATTTTAGCCGAAATACTGTTGTACCCTTGGCAAGTACTGGTAGCTATTCTTACCGTGCCCGAAGTCAACCTGCGTCTCATTTAGCTAAGATATAAGTAAGAAAGTCGGAGCTGCAAAAATAAGTGCAAAGACTTCCAGATCTTTAATTAACTAAGAAATCAGTACTATGTGTAAAGGTAATGTGTCTTAACAAAGGAAAGCTTCTCATTAGGGGTTGCAAAATCTTTAAGTAGCTAGTGCACTAATTTCTTTAAGAATTTATTGTAGCAATTTATTGAGACCATGCAGACATTGCAACTTATATTTGTATTGTGTTTCTCACCTTGTCTGAAACCAATAGTTTAAATTGTGTTTTAAATTAGAGATAAGTAAGAGAACCGTAATTTCAAGGATAAGTAGAATGATTTTCAATTCCGGACAAAGGAACATTACGAAGTAGGGGTTTCAAAATGTTGAGTTAGCTGGTGCTTTTGTTTATTTTAACAATTTAGTGCAAATATTAGGACGTTTCCATTCAAATTTGTATTTTGTTTCTTATCTAGTCTATAATTAATATTT